CTGGGGGGGGGACCAAGGGGGCAGGGCCAGGGAGTCCGAGAGGTGGGGGAAGACTGAGGGGGAAAGGAGACTAAGCACAAGGGGGAGACTCAGGAGCAGAGCGGGGGAACTGAGAGAGCCTTGGGGAGGAAGAGTGAGATTAGTCCAATTGCTATACTTTTTTTTTTTAGTCGGAGTCCCACTCCGTTGCCAAGACTGGAAGGCAGTAGCATGCTCCCGGCCACCCCAGCCTCGACCCACTGGGCTCTGGCGATCCTTCCGCCTCAGCCTTCCAAGTAGCGGGAACGACAGGCATGCGCTACCACACCCAGCTAGTTTTTGATTTATCGTAGAGACGAGGTCTCGCCAAGTTGCCCGGGCGGGTCTCGAACCTGCGGGCTCAGGCAATCCACTCGCCTTGGCCTCCCAAGTGCTGGGATTACAGACTGAGCCGAGCCTGGCCTATACTTTTTATAAATAGTTCAAACAGGTAAGGAAACGTGGTGAGCAGGCCCGGGTCAAGTCCGAGTGACACCCCAGTCTCTCCATCCCCACTGCCTTGCCACTGATCCCTCGCCTCTTCCCGCCCACAAAGCCCCACCTGGGGCAGCAGCCCAGGGAGCCAGAGGCCCCGGGCCTCCCTGGAGGGGCCACAGGAGGGGAAGGGACCACCCTGACAGGTGTCCTCGAGGCTCTGGGAGTGGGAAGGTCAGATCTCCACATGGAGCAGTCGCAGGTGGGAGACCCCAGAGCTGCAGGCGGGGAGCAAGAGGAAGTGGAGGCTACGCGCACCCACCACGGCCCAGCGCTGCTCTACCTGCCTCTGCTGCCTCTCCTGGGCTCCCATCTTACAGATGGAGAATCGAGGCTCAGAGAAGTCAAGTTCCAAGCCCATGCGGCCCAGCAAGCGAGTAGTGAGTAGGAGGCTGAGGTCAGCGTCCCTGCCCGGAGACGAAGCCCCTGCTGGTGGTGTCTGAAGCCACCCTTCTTCTCACCTGTACCACAGGTGACTGTGCACTTGGTCCAGGGCGCGTAGTGCCAGGAGAACTCGGGTGGCTGGATGCCCCCGTGGCCGCCAGCCTCCCTGTTGATGGTGTACTCGTAGCGTACCCCGGGGTTGCTCTCCTGAAAAAGCAGCTGGGCGGGCGGGGGCATCATGAGCACGAGGGGTCCTGCCCAGCCGCGCTGTCCCACCACCCCGGGCAGGCATCCTAAAGGAGCTGGCCCCGGCCACCTCTGTGAACCGGGGCTGTGCCCTGGGGTCATTTTAGAGATGGGGAAACTGAGGCAGAGGTCCAGCAGTAGGGTCGGGCCCAGAGCCAGGCTCTGTGGCACCCCAGGGCTTACTCCTCCAGGACTCCCTGCCATGAGGGCTGGGCCTGCGGACTCCACCTCCCGTGCTGGGCCTCAGGGAACAGGTACCTGGATCCAGATAGGCTCGCTGGTGGGGCCCGGGGATGTAAGGTTCTCCCAGTTGCCTGTGCGGGCATACGTGAAGGTGGTCCCTGCCACCTGGTAGTCCCCGTTCCACTGGATGGTCCAACCCCCGTTGAGGAAGTACTTCTCCGGGTCCTCGCTCCGAAGCGCCAGGAAGTTGGCGGCCTCAGCCACCTCCTCGATGTGGATCTCGCGCGCTCCGGCCGGGATCAGCCCCACATCCACGTACCCTGTGGCCAGGAGTCATGCCCAGGGATGAGAGGGTTGGCTGTTTCCACCCTCTTCCCTCATCTCTCTCCCCACCTGGTCCTGCCTGCCTCCAGGCTTTTGCCCAAGCTCTTTCCACCATTTGGAATGTCCTTCCTCATCCCGTCAGAATCCCTTATGATCCACCTCCTACGGGAAGTCTGCCCTGGCTTCTTCAGGGCAAGATCTTCTTCCTCAGTGCTCTCCCAGTCCCCTGGGCCTCCCTCACTGCATTTGTCACACTAAAAGTTTCTGTCACTCTGTCAGACTATGAGCTCTTCACCTCCATGTCCCCCTCACCTAGCATACAGTCAGCACTTAAGCAGTATGTGCAAAACAGACCCCGAGGTGAGGAATCGGAGCCTCTCTGAGGTGGCCTAAGAAGACAGCAACCCCCTGAGAGGGCCAGGGGCTACACACAAGCCTGACATGCCCTGTCTGGGCTCCCTGGGACAGGAGGACTCCCCTGAGCCAAGGGACCCCGACTCTTGCAAGAATTCCGGCCAAGCAAGAAGGCTTCCCTGCCTTCTGACTGCAGCCTGAGTGGGGACCAGGGGATTGGGGGAACGTGGGGAAAGGGCCGCAAGGTTAAGGGCACACCCTCCCCCACAGCTGCCCCACCCCATACCCAGGCCCTCCGCCTCCTCGAAGGTCGCGCTCACGGTGTGGCAGGTGGAGCCATTGCCGTGACACACACCGCAACGGTCCTCCAGGGCACCCGAGTCGATCTCGAAGTCGCAGCCCACGTTCTGAAACACACAGGGTGCGGGGTGGGTGGAAGGCCCCTTGGGATAGAGGCCGGGTCCTGGGCCCCCAGCCTCCGGCCTGCCAGGGGCTCCAGGACAGAGTTCGGAGCAGGGGTCGGGAGCCCTGCCCCGCCACAGCTGTGCCATGACTGTCTGCCTCTCTGAGCCTCGGTTTCCTCGGGGAGGCAGTGTGGGAATCCCATGAGACAAGAGCTGGGGAAGTTTTCCAAAAGGCAGCGCCTCCCTGCTGCTCCTCCTCTGAGCCCAGGCCTTGGAGGGCAAGAGGGGACACGGGCAGGGAGAAACGGCCACCACTGCCACTAGAAATAAATAGGACTCAACACCAAATACCGAGTGTGACTCTGGCACTCAGAGCCCTGCAGGTCACCTGTACCCCCTTGGTGAAGCCCCTGCTATGGCTGAGGAAGCCGCCGCCCGGGGTGAGCCAGCTGGCATGAGGTGGAGCCATTGCCTGGTGTCCTGGCTGGGGCCATGCTGGTGCAGGCATGTAAGGGATCACGTGCAGTCAACAAGGACAAGGAGGGGAGGCCGTGGTGGAGAGGCTGAGGGTGGCAGGCCTGACTGGGGGGTGTCTCCAGTGTTAGCAGGTGGGGGCTTTGTCTTAGATGTCATGGGGGCAGGGGCTGGGAAGGCCGACGGCACAACCTGGGGAGGGAGGCCAGGAGGAAACCAGGGATGACCCAGTGCCTGACATGGAGCTCGGGGCGAGCAGTGCCAGGAGCCCCCCCATCCAACACACCTTGCAGATGCCATTAATGCACAGGTCCCGGCTGACACGGCCTTGGTAGCAGGGGGTGCCATCCACCACAGCGTCCCGCAGCTTCTCAGTAAAGTACTCATTCAAGGGCCGGCAGTGCAGCTCACAGGGATTCACTGGGGGGCCCAAGGAGAGGCACCATCAGGGACAGCCAGGGCCAGAGGACCAGGGAGACCACTCTGCACACGCTGGCAGGGGCTGGGAGCAGTGGTGGCCCTGGGGGAAAGTGGGGGCAGCCCAGGGCTGGGGTGGAGACTGGGCTTCCTGCCCACCTCACTGGGTACACCTGGAGCCATACCCCCTGTCCTCTGAGCCTCAGTGTCCCCATGGACTCACCATCATTGGCCACAGGCACCCACGTGTGTAGCTGGCCCTTGTAGAACATGGCGTCGAAGTGGCTGCACTGGACCTGGCGGAAGGAGG